ACTTTGTGCTTCGCACTATATGCACTCACTTCTTGGCAGGAGACCTTAGGCCACGCCTTTAGTGTTCATGTGTTCAAGTGTACATCCCATGTGTTGACTGTCCGGATAATTGTTGTCCCATGATGCCCCTGCTTGGGTCTACACTTGTTTGTCTGTTTGTCAATGTTACTACAACCCATAAACAGATTTAAAAAAAAATAAGAAATAAAAAAAAAGGCCCACTACAAAATACCTGCATATGTATCAATTTAATAAAGACACAGTAAAATGTCTGACAGTGCCCAGATTAATGTTACAATGTGTCCATCATTTATTCAGGGAGTAATGTCAGCTAGTCAACATTTGACTCTAGGCAGGCTCTATACCATGGATTATCTGCTTACTGTATAACATATATAAAGTGGAGCTCCAGTCATTTTTGTAAAACTGTAGCTGCTGACTTAATAAACCGATACTCATGTCCTGCTCACCAGAACCATTTTCTCCACCTGTCTTCGGTCCCCAGTGCTGGCATCCTAACTGTGGGCACCAAGCTGAGACAGCTTGCAGCTTCACAGCCAGGTACCCACTGTCCATTGTGTCACATGTCCCAGAAGACTGCGAGGAGGGAGGAGAACTACTGCTTCTAATTGCCTATGCCAGTGGTCTCCAAACTGCGTCCCTTTCCTTGCCTCTATCTGGCCCTTGGGACACTATTCCTCCCACTGACACCAATGATGAGGCACTATTCCTCCCACTGACATCATCGCTGGGGCACCATTCCTCCCACTGACACCATCCCTGGGGAACTATTCCTCCCACTGATACCATCCCTGGGGCACTATTCCTCCCACTGATATCATCCCTGGGGCACTATTCCTCCCACTGATATCATCCCTGGGGCACTATTCCTCCCACTGATACCATTCTTGGGGCACTATTCCTCCCACTGACACCATTCTTGGGGCACTATTCCTCCCACTGACACCATCAGTGGGTCACTATTCCTCTCACTGACACATATGATGAGGCACCATTCCTCCCACTGACACCATCCCTGGGGCACTATTCCTCCCACTGACACCATCACTGAGGCACTATTCCTCCCACTGACACCATCACTGAGGCACTATTCCTCCCACTGACACCATCCTTGGGGCACTATTCCCCCCACTGACACCATCGCTGGGGCACTATTCATCCCACTTACACCATCCCTAGGGCGTGTAGGAGTGGATACTTGTCAAAACCAGATACCCGCCCCCCCTCTCCCCCACAAAAAAAAAAAAAAACAATTTTTTCAAGAGGAATGGGGGAAGAGGCCTTAAAGTGGAACTTCCCCTTTTGGGTGGAGCTCCGCTTTAAATGAAAGGTAATAAAAAAAAATGTGTAAACAGCATACCATTCACAAATGTTTTGGAGGGAGGACAGACATTCAAAAAAAATTACTGCAGACTTATAGAAAGCTAGGTTCATACTGCCCTGCACTGTGCATTCTGAAATCGCATCGATTTCCACATCCGCAACCAAACCGTGCAGCGCTTACAAGAAGCTCGAGGCTGCCATTCACTCTGAATGGCATCCCCACACATCTCAGCCTGCAGTGCGGGAACCGCATGGTAAAAAGACATGCAGTTTCCATGCAGCCACGTTTTTAACCACTTCCCGACCGGCCGTTGTATATAAACGGCCGGACGGTGGCACTGCAGGGTCGGGTGGCCGTCTATAAACGGCCTCCCCGCACCCTGCTTGTGCGCGCTCCCTGGGAGGGCGCAGCACCGCGATCCGGTGCCCGCTGTGTCCTCCGGACACAGTGAAACACCGATCGTCGGACGGGACCTCTGTACGAGGTCCCGATCATGTGATCGTTGATTGGCCAATCAGTGATTACATGCAAAGTAGTAAGCAAGATGTCACTTCTGACATCATTGCTTACTATGTGTGAAATCTGTGAATGATTACAGAGGTTACATGGTACAAGGCTATTAACAAAAGCCTTGTACCATGTGACAAGCTGTGACCAATCACAGCTCACTCAGTTCTTCTCAATGAGTGCAAGAATGCACACAGAGAGAAAGAGAAATGATTGCTTTTACATCCTATATGGGTGTAAAAGCAATCAGTGTAAAAAAAAAAAAAAATCTTCATCACCCCCACAAGTAGTACAGTGTCACCATGGTGACACTGTACTGCTAGGGTGACAGTATGTAAAAAAATAAAAATAAAAATAAAAAATAATAATATAAAAAAATAAAATAAAAATGTAAAAAAAAATGTTTAAAAATTATAATTTTTGCTTATAAACTAATTTGGATTTTTGTTTCTTACTAAAAAGATAACGGAATAAATTTTGGCTAAGATTTATGATGAAATATTATTTATTTGCAAAATTTTATAAAAAAAAACACTTTTTTTCAAAATTTTTGGACATTTCATTTACATAGCAAAAAAAAATACAAATCCCAGTGGTTAATAAATACCACCAAAATAAAGCTTTATCTGTCTCACAAAAATGGTAAAAAATTCATTTGGGTACAGTGTTGCATGACCGCGCAATTGTCATTCAAAGTGTGATAGCGCTAAAAGCTGAAAATTGCCCTGGTCAGGAAGGGGGTAAAAGTGTCCGGTCTGGAAGTGGTGCATGTGGTTCAAATGAAGGAGCTGCCGTGCCTGAGCAAACAGGGGCCACATGGTGTGAACCAGGCCCCAGGAAAAGTTAAATTCAAACACAGTTTGGTATAAGAGACACAGCAAAATGTGTCTCTGTACAGTAGGACTAGAGTTTGGGAAGAAGAAGCAGCACAAGGAGCCAATTTTTTCCTGTGCGGTCAGTGAGCATGCTGATATGAAAATTGACTGACACAGAGATGAGCTCATTACTGTGCTGCTTCTCTTTTCACTGTCCAGTAAAAGGCAGGGGAGGGTCTAGTTCTAGTACTACCTTGGGTCAGAGAAAGTGGGATGATTGATGCTGGTCATCAGACTAAGGACATCTAATGACAGAAAAAAAAAAAGTGCTGAGAGGGAAATATCTGGATTGAAGGTGAATTCTGCAACAAGAGATTTTCTTAAACTTTTAATGGGCTGTTCCTTTTTAACTTGTTATTTTCAGCTGGTGTTTTATAAACGTTTTATAAGCGTTTTATAAACGCCAGTGGGGGACCCCCACGCTATTTTCTTTAACCACTTGCCTACCGGGCACTTTTACCCCCTTCCTGCCCAGGCCTATTTTCAGCTTGCAGCGCTGTTGCACTTTGAATGACAATTGCGTGGTCATGCAACACTGTACCCATATGAAATTTGTATCCTTTTTTTTTTTCTAAGACATATAGAGCTCTGGTGGTATTTAATCACCTCTGGGTTTTTTCTTTTTTAATAAACTAAAAAAAACTGAAAAATTTTGAAAAAAAAAAAAAAAGTTTTCATAGTTCCTGTTATAAAATTTTTTAAATGAGTAATTTTTCTCCTTCACTGATGTGCACTTATGAGGCTGCAGTGATTGGACACCGATAGGTGGCACTGATGGGCATTGACAGGCATCACCGATGGGCACTGAAAGGCAGCACACATATATGGCACGGATAGACGGCACTGATAGGCAGCATTGATGTGCACTGGTAGGCACTGATATGTGGCTTTGATATGCACTGATGGGCACTGACAGGAGGCACTGATCATCAGTGTAGATGTCTCCTCTGAGGAATGCCAATTACTGGCCCTCCTCTCCTCACGCGCTGTCAGTGTGAGGAGAGGGCTGCCCATAACCGGCATTTCCTTGTTTACATGCGATCAGCTGTGATTGGACACAGCTGATCACATGACAGAGCTAATGTCATCGGCTCTTTAGTGTGATCGGTGACACAGCGCACTGCTGATTGCTGGGGGTGCGCATTCACAGTTAGACTGGGAGGACATCATATGACGTCCTCCCAGAACAAGAGAGCCACCGCCCCCCATTTCCTCATATGGCAAGCGGAAGGTGGCTAAAATTTGGTATGGGGGTTCCCCTGAAAATCCACACCAGACACGAAGAGCTTGGTATGGATGGCGGAATAACACCACGCAGTTTTTCTGCAAAATGTTTAAAATTGCCAGAAATTCTTTTTACATTAGAGTGAATGTTTCCACTACTAAAATACTGCATGACTGAATAATACAACTCATGCGCTATTTTAGTAGCTGTTTGGTATCTTACCACATACTTGGATGCGGTAAGATACTGCTTAGTGAATTGTCCCAGTTTGAAGTTTGCGGTTAAACTTTCGTTAGGTTCCAAAGTTCAACTGCAAACCGAATAGGGGGTAAATCGGCCCATCACTAATGTGGCATGGTCAGCAAAGGCTACTTTCACACTGATCCATAGCAAAAATATTCAGGAAAAACGAATATGTGTGCATTTTTACCACATTAGCAGAGTGGTTTTTACAGGACATGTGATGCAAAAACCACACCACGTTTTCCATTGCTTGGGAGGTGCGGTTTGAGTGCATTTATTTTACTGCACCAAAAATGCAGCATGATTTTAAAAAACTCACCAGACCCTCAACGCATCAGTTCAAAGAGTTTCATAGGAATTCGTAGTCACATTTTTGTTCCACTTTTTTTAGCAAAAAGCAGAAGAAAAAACAAATCTATGAAAGGTCTGAAGAAGGAGCCTATTGAGTATGTTCCCGAAATGCATTACCACCCCCTTCACCTCCTACATCCGACTCTGCTCTCCTAGCTTCATTTTGATGCACAGGCACATCCTGGACTCTACTTCCTGATCCTATAGATAGAGTTTGCTGCTGGACGGCTGGATGTCCCACCTGGATCCAATTACCACACCAGGAGTCTTTTTAATTATTTATCTTGTAAGTGCAATTTATCCATTGTTTACTAAATAAATTGTCAATACTGCACTTAGAGGCACCTTCCTCTTTTTCTTGTTACTGCATTAAAGCCTTGCTTCCACTCTAAGGCTACGTTCACACTAGCCTTGTGTGCAGGTGGCATAGAGGCGTTTGGGAAGCGTTTTTAACCGCTTCCCAAACACCTCTGCCCCTGCAATTCTGCACATTACAGCACATGGTGCTGTTCTAACGGGAGCGTTTGCGTCGTGTCGCGTCGCGGCAAAACGGACGCCTCTGGACGAGTCAGGAGGCTTTGAAGCCTCCTATTCTCGTCTATGGTGCCGCTCCGCAAACGCCCGAGTTTATCCTCCCAGCTGGCCGGCGTTTGCAGACGGTGCGGTTGCGGTGGTTTTGCGGATCGGTAACACCACTCAAACTGCATTATAGGCGTTTGTGTGGGGGCGTTATTAACGCTCGGCACAACGCCTCCCTAAGCAACCGCCGCTAAACCGCGCATGCGGCGTTTGCGGAGCGTTAAAAAAACGCTCCGCAAACGCCGGACCAACGCTTGCCAAACGCTATAGGGGCGTTTGGCAAAGCGTTGGCAAAACAGCCAAGTTGTGAACGAGCCCTAAGAAGAGCTTCCTCAGTGTTACTGCACTCCCACCCATTCCCTGATATCCATCTGGCACCTTTATCCTACAGCTACAGAGGTTTTGGGCTCCAAGTA